GAAGAGCGTGAGGCCTAACTTGTGAGTTCACACATGCCACCAGAACGGATGCAAGTCCTTTAAATGTGGGACTATCATCAAAGAAACATTTGTTTCATCTATTACAAAGGAGGGGTTTTCTTTCTTGGGTTTTTTTTTTTGAGTTAATTTTGAATGAAGACATAGTGAGCAAGGCATGCAAAAACTGCTTCATTTACATATATTTACATCTGTGGTATTGGGTTGTAAATGAGCTATTGTGCTCTAGAAAGAGCTTCTGGAGGCAGAATGTAGATAGTTCTCAAAGGATATCCGTTCAGTACTCAGTAATGGTAATAAGACAAAGAAATACTGCATTTTCTAATGCTTGCTTAGAAAACAAAGGTTTTCTCTTGCAACACGTCTTGCATGGGGTTCTTTATGTCCACATATTAAAATTAATACTTGCAAGAGTACAAATAATGGCAGTAAAGATGCTGAGAAATAGAAAGCAGCATCTGTTTGAGCACAGCCTAAATAGATGAGGATACTTTGGGCCTGAAAAGGCAGAAGGATTGAATGGGATAAAGATGAATCATACCTTGATAAGTATGAAGAGGTGAGTAGCTGATGAGCGTTCACTGTTTCTCTGGTGCTGTTGAACATTATGTTCTGTAATTGCAAGATGATGGCTGCAAACTAGAAGAGTGATCTGTGAAAGGTGCCTGTGTATGTGCTGGTGGTCAGTAAAGCTGTATTGTTGAACAGATTCAGTGGAACTAGTTGAGGGAAAAAGGGTTTTTTAAAACAAGTGAGAAGTTCTTTGAAATAACTAAGAAAATACACTGGATTCTGCCTATGATCAGAAATGATTTATGTGCCTGCTGACTTGTCTTGTATCACAGCTTAGCATGTTCATACTGGGCTGACAGGATTTCGGGTAGTGGATGGAAGCAGCTGTAATTTTAAACTCATAAAACTAATTCCAAAACCACTGGGCTTTGTGTTTTGCTTCAGTGTCTCCTTTTCTCCTGGGCCGTGCTCTGTGGGCTGCCAGTCGTTTTACAGTGGCCATGTCTCCAGAACTCATCCAGCAGTTCCTACAAGCTACTGTCAGTGGTCTCCATGAAACCCAGCCTCCTTCTGTCCGAATCTCTGCAGTCAGAGCTATCTGGGGGTAAGTAAAGCCCAAGGTATTCCAAAGCCCCAGGGGTAGGTGGCATAAATTACACTTACAAAACTGGCATGTTGAAATGTTAATAACACTTCTGTAATAGGTTGTGGAAGTATTTGCTTTGAATGAAATAGATGTCAATGGGCTCGTGGAGCACGTCTCAGCAATAGGGAGTGTTTGGGAGGGTTTTAATCCTGTTTTGTAAATAGGTTGCAAGAAGGAGAAGGGGGGATCTGCTGAATTGATTCTAAAGTGAAAAATGAACGTTAGTTCAGAAAACAGCCGACCACAAAAAAACCTTGCAACCCTCTACTCCTCCCCATCCTCTCCTCCGTCCCCAAACCACCTTGTCTTCTATTTGCACTGAAATGTTAATGAATAAGTAAAGGCAGAGACTTAGAACTTACTTATTCCTGAAGTTGTTTTTTATCATTCCTTAGCTCACTTGTAGAACGTGGTAATTAAACACTTTGTAAGCAGTAAGTGTCTGTCTCAGACATCTTCTTTCCTCAAGGTTTATTTTCTCCACTGATGGCAGCTCTTAAGAGAGAGCTTACTAGAAGGCAGTGGAAGCTTTTAACATCACTTGGCTCAACTCTGCTTCTCTAGCTGGGGTGGAATGAGAAGGAAAGATAGCTGAGGTGTGAGAGATCAAGGAATAGTAGACTGAAGGGGAAAGGTGCTGTAGGAATGAACTTAAGGAAGAAGAATGGGTGGGGTGAACTAATCCCTTATACATCATCTAGAGTTAAATGTATAAATCACTTTAATATGTGTATATTTTTGTATCACAAATTTCTTGTCTAGCTACTGTGACCAGCTGAAGATCTCTGAGAGCACCCATGTGTTGCAGCCTTTCCTTCCTAGCATTCTTGATGGACTGATCCACTTGGCTACTCAGTTCAGCTCGGAGGTCCTGAACCTGGTGATGGAGACGCTGTGCATTGTCTGCACCGTAGACCCAGCGTTTACAGCAAGTGTGGAGAACAAAATCTGCCCTTTCACCATTGCAATATTTTTGAAGTACAGTAATGGTGTGTATTTAAGTTACACTCTCAAAGTCCAGTTGTTTTTGCTACCGAATCCTGGTGCTGAAAATTTAATATGTGATAATTGAGTGAATGTTGATTGATACGGTGAAGCTGGAAGGGAAACTTGCTGCTTTGCCTGTTAGAAATAGAGGTAGCAAAAATTGAGATGTGTTTCTTAGTATGTTTTAGTAAATGGTGCTTTCTCTCTCCAGATCCAGTTGTTGCTTCTCTTGCCCAAGATATCTTTAAGGAGCTAGCTCAGATAGAAGCCTGCCAGGGTCCAATGCAGATGAGGCTAATACCAACTCTTGTCAGCATCATGCAGGCCCCTGCTGACAAGATCCCAGCAGGGCTTTGTGCAGTAAGTGCTACAGTAGTACATGGTCGTAGCTGGAGATGATTCCCTGTTCTTTAACGTGTAGGATGGCCGGGCTGCAAAGAGCAGAGAGGTTGTTTTTAAACTGCTTTGGAACTGCGGTCATTGGTTGGAGCTTCTTTGTGGAGAGAAGACAACCTGCAGGCGGGGGGGATGCTTCCAAAAACTAACTTTAAACTGCTTCTCTGGCAGCCTCTGCAGTATATCTCAAGTCATGTTGCTTTGACATAGCCATCTTTCACCAGTAACAGTCTCCTCTCTCTGGTGAAATGTTCTCCAGCAGGCCACACGACTGTTCCTTGCACTTTGTTCTAAGGCTTTTTCTGATTTATACATCACATACATATAAATTGCTGAAGATAAAATTATGCAGGTTTGTCATTCCTATAAAAAGTCCCCTTGTAAATGCTTAAGCGTTGACTGTGTGGAATCACTGTACAGAATTAAACCCATAAGCATCTTTATCCTGTGCTTATAATCTGCGTATTGATTGGTCTGACTGTAACAATTGCTTATGGGTAATTAAAATCAATTTACATCAATACAAAGGGAACAAGCTGGCACAGTTCTCTGCTGTACTGACTCACGTGCATCAGCCTGCTCTGAAAGCATTTGCCATGGGGTTTTTTACACTGCTTTTAATGTTTGCACTACATTGGGAACTTTCAGAGCACACACCACGTGTGGTGTCAGACACCCTGATGCTTGGGTGCACGACTGCAGGGTTGTCTGATCTTAAGAATATTCTGGAGTGTAAAATCAGGATGTGGTTGCAGTACTGGTTCACATCCCTGCAGTTCATGCCTTTGATACTTGCACCACTGCTGCTGACTTAGCAGTAACAGTGCTTTTGTTCCTGGTTTCCTTTCAGACCTCTATTGATATACTGACCACGGTTGTAAGGAATACAAAACCTCCTCTGTCCCAGCTGCTCATCTGCCAAGCATTCCCTGCAGTGGCTCAGTGCAGCTTGAACACTGATGACAATGCTACAATGCAGGTAACACGGGGGTGGGAAGGATTGCAGGGCTGTACAAGTCCAAGAGAGGTGACCAAGACAAGTGGCAGCCTTAAGGGAGCCCAGGCTTTGCTTGCCAATACCTATATCAGCACCATCTCAGTCTCTCTGCCTTCTCCTGTTTATCATCAGAGTACTGCTGTGCAGGGGCCTGCAATGACTTCTACTGATCATTCCTTAATTTGGGGTGTGCAAAGCAGCAGCCTTAATCTTTTTTTCTGTTTTAGGGAGCACATTAAAAAAAACCCACCCAAAAACAAAGCTCAAAACTTAAATGAAAAACCCCCAAAAGTCATTGGTTTTCTTCCCCCACAATAGCTTTCATCACACCAGGAATGGCAGAAGTTGTGTTCAGGAGCACACTCGGGCACAGGAAAGCAAGAGACCTTCTGTGTAGAAGACCTCCTAGACCTTCTCCTTCTGGCAGTTTTCTCCTGTCCTCATTTAGGTGGGAAGGGGAGGGCAGATTTCTTTTAAACTGAACCAGGTATGGGCTGGAGGGAGAGCAAGGTTTCATCTCAATCAGTAGTAGTGCCTGAGCTACTTGTTGGGCAGCTCTGCTCTTTACCTGGTAATGTCTTTAGAGTATTTAAGCAAGAAAGAAGAAGATTCAGAGGCTACAAGTGCAGGGTCTCTTTTCATTCCAGCTGCTAGCTGGCATATAAATAGTAAAACTGGTTTCATTCCTTGCGTAAGGAGTTTTATAGCACCAGCTACCCTTTGCCATGTGAATACAGCCCATAGGAATGGCTTTCCCGAAGCAAGATTCCAGTAAGAATAGGTTGGGGACTGGTTGCTCTGCTGGGTCTTTGTTTTAAGAAGAATTCAGGAAGATTTCAGCTTGGCTGCTGGGTTCTGTTTTGTTCATGCTACGCAACCAGTGCTACAAAACACAATGGATGCTGTCTCCATCTCCCACTGGTTAGAATCTCTTGGAATTTCTCTGGGTAACAAGACTGACACAAAACTGCATCTGTTTCAGAAGATCTCTTGGAGAACTGCTGCAGCAGTGAAGAGTTTTGTACTTGATAATCAACTGAATTCTGTAGAAATTAGTTTTACTTTTAGGCACTCATCGTACTGCACATTCGAGAGCTCTGATCTCTTAGATGCCACCGTCTGTAAGACCATACGAAACCCTTAACTGTTTTCATCTCAGTTAAGGGTCTGTTTGAGGTGATAAAGGGGATGTCTTCCCATGCCTTCCCACTCCCTTACCTACAAAGGGAGGTTCTAACCTGGTACTTCTCTTGTTCAGAACGGTGGCGAGTGTCTGCGCGCATACGTCTCGGTGGCGCTGGAGCAGATCGCCCAATGGCATGATGAGCAAGGCCACAATGGACTGTGGTATGTGATGCAGGTGGTGAGCCAGCTTCTGGATCCACGGACCTCAGAATTCACTGCTGCCTTCGTGGGCAGATTGGTCTCCACTTTAATTTCAAAAGCAGGAAGTGAGCTGGGAGAGAATCTGGACCAGATCCTGAGAGCTATCCTGAGCAAAATGCAGCAAGCGGAGACGCTCAGTGTGATGCAGGTGAGCAGGTTGGGCACGCAGGGGAGGAAGCAGAAATGTCAGCAAAAGAAGTTGTCATCACTTCTTTTAGCTGTGTGCCCCATTATTTATGGTTAGTGCAATTGGAAGGTCTCTATATCCTCTTGAAGTACTCAGGAAGATGCCTATTCTGCTCATAAAGTTGTCCAGATTACAGGGTAAGCCAGGTTCTTGTGGGTAAGCTTTTACTGCGCCTTAAATACTCCCTCATGACCACGTGCTTGCAAGCAGTGAACCTTCAGAGAGGACAGGAGTTGCCTAAGTACGGATGCTGTGGCAAAGGCAGCACATGTTTTCGACTCATTTTGTGCTGTATTTGAAGGATAAATGCCTGGGAGTTGAGACTGGGGGTTTTGGGGTGATTAAATACTGCTGTTGACTGTAGTAGGTTATTGCCTGCTTTTGTAGCAGTGTCTTGCATATAGTTTTTTATATATATATATATACATACTTTAATGTATACATATACACTTTCTGTTTCTCTTGGGGTCGGTAAGCACAGCCTCCATCCTGCAGGGAACTGTTACTCGAATGTCTGGTAAAACATTTTCAGCTATTAAATAATGCCCATCTAATGCTTCCTTTCTCCTGCTGCAGTCCTTGATTATGGTGTTTGCTCACTTGGTTCACTCACAACTGGAACCACTCCTGGAGTTCCTCTGCAGTCTCCCTGGCCCAACTGGCAAGCCTGCCTTGGAGTTTGTCATGGCCGAATGGATGAGCCGGCAGCACTTGTTCTATGGGCAGTATGAAGGCAAAGTCAGGTAGGAGGTTTGATAATCTGTGCACTAACATTAGCTGACTGATCATCCTGCTGCAGCTGAATGCAGTGGGTGTGAGGGGAAGAGGAGCTGGATCAGACTTAGGTTTGTGTGTGCCAGCATTGGGTTAGCTCAACACAGGAGCGCTGTGATAACTGCAGCAAACTCTGATCCTCCTCCAAGTGCTCCTCTTGCTGCCTGGTGTTTCTGTGCTGCAACAGGCTGACCCAAGGGGGAAGCAGTGTCACTTGCAAGCACAGGAGTGCTTTTGAGATTGAACTTTGGTGAAGGGGATGAGAATAGCTTCCAGGCAGGAAATTGCCTTTGTAGACTAGTGTAGAGTTTCAGGGCATTGTAGAAGGTTTCCTAAGAGAACTTGGTGATTTCTTGTTGATTTAATGATCTCTTAAAAGTCAATAAAGAAATCACCTGAAACAGTTTTCTCTCCCTTCTGCTGTAGGAGCACATTTGTGTTCTGATGGAGGCAGAGGACTGTATTCCAAAGCATGAAGTGCTCTGTAGGATTTTAAATTGTGCTGCAGCTGCTGTCTTTGATTTCTCTGGCAATGTGAAGCCCAACAGACCACTCTTAGGGGTCTCACCAGCTCATAACTCACCTCACAGCATGCATTGGTGTGGTGTTGTTATAAGGCAGTCAAATAGCCTGTGAAATAATAAGAAAAAGCATGTGTAAAATAGAATTTGAGTGATCGTGCAGAACAGGAGGCTGTCTGATGTGGGGATCTGGTGCTGCTGTTGGTCACACTCGGTCTGTTTCGTCTTTAAGAGCAGTGGTTTATCCCCACTGTGACAGAGTGGGGTTGTCTGCAGGATCCCCTGAGGCTGCTCATGGCCACAGGGAAAAGCCAAGGCCGACACTGACAGGAGGAACAAGGTTAAACTTTGTTCAGTGCTGCCTCCGTGTTGTCCCACGTTAGAGTTGTTTTGCATCCAGATGGCTTGGCAGGGCCCCACGCTTTAGTCAAAGACATCCTCAGTATGGCTGGAAAACAGCCTGGAACTGGAGAAGGTTTGAACATGTGGAGTAGAAACCTGAGCAGCAGAGTGAAAAGAACACATGAAGGTACTGAAGGAGCACATTAGAAGGTCTGAGTGTAGCAGAGCTGTGAAGGACCAGAAGTGAAAAAGAGAAAAGTAGAAGAGATGTTATGGCTGCAGGTGAGCACATCACTGCTTCCCTCTCAGTTCCATCTTCAGCTGCGTGTGGTGCTTCAGGTGTGTTTAACCTTGTGGCCCTTCTGAACTGGAAAAACCTTTAATGTATGTATGCACTGTTTAATGGTGTTTAATCCAAAGCTTTGTCAGTCCTTGGCTTGCTGTGCAGGTGAAATGAGCCCAGTTTCGGATATAAAGCAGGAGAAATAGGGAAGTTCCTTAATGCTTGTTCTTGGCAAAAAGTGTAGAACGTGGGGCAGCTGAAGGTCTGCTCTGGAGATGTGTTCACTGTGAAAGCCAGACTGTTCAGGGCAGTTCTGATCTATAATTCCTTCTGTTCCCTGCTCCCCAGCTCTGTGGCATTGTGTAAACTCCTCCAGTATGGCATCAATACAGATGACAAGAGGCTTCAGGACATTAGGGTAAAGGGAGAAGAAATCTTTAACATGGATGAGGGAATACGGACACGATCGAAGTCGGCCAAAAGTGAGTAATCATTTGGCTGGTTTGAACAGGATTTTTTTTCCTGGTAGATGGTATAAAAGGCCTTAAAATAGACGTTGCAGGTCCCAGGAAGCTGTGGGGTTATTTCCTACAGAAGGTGCATGTTGCTTTTTAAAGCTAATCCATAAAATGTGTATTTAACATCTCCATAATTTGCCTTAATTCTGCCAAAGACTGATTTAGAAGACTCTTGGTGTCTCTAATGTAATACAAATGGATGAGATGATTATGGGGTAGTGCATTATTCACTGCTATTTTGCATCATCCTGTTCCATGTAATGAGATAGGATTGATAATTTCATGATGCCCGGTAGCTTCTCTGAGTGGAAAGTGTGTTTAGAAAATGCACTTGTCTTCTTTTCAATTGGCCAAACCCCAAATCTTTGGAGATTAGTGCCTAGAGATTGAGTTTTTAAATCCAAGAGAGCCCTGGGCAGGGCTCAAATAGAAAGAAAAATGAATAACACACCCCCCCCCCAAACAACCACCAAAGACAGGCCTGGTTTTAACGGCCTCTTATTAAAAGCAGTGGGAATGTGTCTTTTTATTCTCTGGCAGATCCTGAGCGCTGGACAAACATTCCTCTGTTAGTAAAAATCCTAAAACTAATCATAAATGAACTCTCGAATGCGATGGAAGCGAATGCATCCAGACAGACACCTGCAGATTGGAGCCAAGGTAAAATACTGGGTTTGCTTCTCTCTTTGCATGGCTTAAACCTACTTTGTGATCTCTTCAGAAGCATTCACACTAATAAGAAGTTGACAATAGTGAATAGGAGACCTGTAATTACAAAGGCTTAAATAATGATCCAGGGTATAAGGTCAGTCAGTGTTGTGTATTCTCATATCTGAAGATTATTTTGGGCTGGTTTGGAAGATAAGATCTGCCCATATGCCAGTAACACTCCTTTCTTGGTGTATCTGCTTTGCCTTTCTTCCTCCCTGCTTCACTCTTCCATTCTTGCTGCTGCTTTTTGCTCAGCTCCAGTTCTCGAGTCGCTCATTCCAAAGGGATAGAAAGGCTGCAGGTGTTTCCCTTCAGCCACCTCCACAAGCAGGGATGTTTGCCTAACAACCACAGTCCCTGCAGTGATCAACAGGCTGGAGCTCTTGCGTTTGGATTAGTTCTAGAATTGTTTCTTTCCTAAACAGATGATTCAAATGACATGTGGGAGGATCAGGAAGAGGACGAGGATGAAGATGAAGGCTTAGCAGGACAGTTCTTATCAGATATTCTTTCCACAAACAAGTATGGTAAGTAACAGCTTTCAAGTGCTTACTCAAAGCAAACATGGAGTAGATGACATCCTAATCAGCTTTCTTTCCTTGATAGCAGCTCAACAGAGGCTGCAGGCAAGGGGAAGGAAATGCCACAGCAGGGTTTTGAGTAAGGGCCTTGTGTGTAAGGGGGATGTGCCTTTAAATAACACAATGATTAACTAACTGTGTTTTCCACCTGAGAGTTCACGTGGGCTGCACATTGCTGTGAGGTTCATGCAGGTATTTCTTCTAAGGAGAACAGTGTTGCTCAAAGATGTAAATGTGACCTTGAAATGACAGTGTTGTAGAAGTGGATGAACTTGCTGGTGGAGTAACCTTGAGAAATAAATGCTGCATAAAGATGGAGCGGGTGTATCATCTCCTTGCCTCTGCCCTGTATGCAAACTGGACTACATCCAGTTTGCATATAGTCCTAAAGGGAGAATCTTGCAGGCAAATACAATAAGGGAGACCTCTCATATTAGCACAGAATTGGAAATGTGTCACCCTGGCATAGGATTAAGCCATAAGATAAGAGTGCACGTACTAACAAACCTGCCTCTCCAGTGTCCTGTGTATGCTCATCTCACTTGTGTGTCCTCGAGACTCCCACCATGACCCACCTCATTCTGGGATTTGGTGTTTCCTGATCATATCAACTTAAGGAGTGAATGTTCTGGATACAATATTATTTATTTTACCAGCAGCACTAGAACTATTTATTTTTAGACCCTTGGATTTCAACAGCAGTCTCAGGGAATGCTTCCTGAGATGGATTGCCCTGTTTGATGTTAAAACCTGCTGATTTGCCTCTGACAGATGAGGATTACTATGAAGATGATGAAGAGGATGATCCGGATGCATTAAAGGACCCTCTTTACCAAATAGATCTCCAGGTGATGCTCTACAATAAGGGTTTATTAATCAGATTCCTATCATTCTTTATAAACTTAGGGTTTTTTCTATGATGTACTTTAACAAAACTGTACCCCACTGGAGACAGCAGCTGTTATTGATTGTTGTCCCAAAGGTATTCAGTGCATTGAAATCACTTTGGAAAGTGCTG